CTAAAGGGTTTCCAAAGTTTGTTCCCCTTTAGGGGAAGACAACCCCGAAGGGGCACGCTGTAATTTTGTAGTTTCGGCCGGAGGCCTATAACTTACTGTAAGGTATCCAACGAACTTACTTTACAACGACGGACAAAGCTCGAAGATAGTTTTATTATCCGGACTACGAATGGATAGTTTAGCTTTTTACAAGGGATTTGTAACTTAATCGATTTGCTTTCATAATCTTAACGACTACCTTATGTCACAAGCTAGCCAAGCTTTTCATCCCCTAAAGGGGAACCGAAGGGGAAGTGCTTTGTGCGTCCCCCTTCGGGGAAGAGCTGCGATATCTAAAACAAATCGTAAACCGTTTTATTCTAGTTTAGTTTTAGAGATTAATAAAATCTATGGTTAAAGAAAAATTAGTTGCTGTGCGCGCAGCTTTTTTAGCTGCTATGTTAGGTGTTGTTGGTATTCTAGCGGTAAATCCCGCAGAAGCGTATCCCGTTTTTGCACAACAAAACTACGCAAACCCACGTGAAGCAAACGGTCGTATTGTTTGTGCTAACTGTCACTTAGCTCAAAAACCTGTTGAAATTGAAGTTCCTCAAGCTGTTTTACCGAATACAGTATTTGAAGCGGTTATTGAAATTCCATATGATAAACAAGTCAAACAAGTATTAGCTAATGGTAAAAAAGGTGATTTAAATGTTGGTATGGTTTTAATTCTTCCAGAAGGTTTTGAATTGGCGCCACCAGATCGTATTCCTGAAGAAATCAAGAAAAAAGTAGGTAATCTTTACTACCAACCATACAGTCCAGAACAAAAAAATATTTTAGTTGTAGGTCCAGTACCAGGCAAAAAATACAGCGAAATGGTAGTTCCTATTTTATCCCCAGATCCTGCTAAAAATAAAAACGTTTCTTTTTTAAAATATCCTATTTACTTTGGCGGTAACCGTGGCCGTGGTCAAGTTTATCCGGATGGTAAAAAATCAAACAACACTATCTATAATGCATCAGCG